TGAAAAACTGAAATATAATATGACAAAAAAAAGCAAACAATTTGAAAATAATGAGCAAAACATAAGTACAAAAAAATAAAAATAAAAATCAAAGGTTCAAATTTGAGACATTAAAACAAAAATTGATGATTATTTATATGTCGGATATCATACTCTTCATCACAAACTAGGAGATTGATCCCATCTTTGACAAAAGGTAATCAATTCTTAAAGAGTAAGCTCACTGCTTTCTCTAGAATCTTAACCTCAATATTTACCATCCAATCCCCAACCATTGCGTTAGAAACGTACAACTCTGAAGGCTTTTCTAACATTTTCTTAGATCAAAAATGTTTACAGCCTCAAAAAGTAGTCATAAGTCATAACACATGAGTCCCATACATTTCTTCCTCAAGTCATAATACTTCAGAAAACAGAGGAAGTCTTTTAAGTGTAAGCAAAAGAAAGAAACAAAAAAAATGAGAAAACAATGTTAAATTTTGTTTTTGTTTTTTTATGCTTATATTTTCTTACAGATTGAAGATTTTTTGCAAATTTCTTTAGCAGAAACACAAGATAAACCACCATCAAGATCTGAAATAAACAAAATAAATGTTTTCTTTAGAGAATAAAATTGTTGACACAACCAATTTCGACAAAATTCAAAAGAAAGTTTTAAATTTGATTTACCACATTTTTGTATTGCAAGTTGACAATCATCATAACAATGTTTGAGATCCTCGTGATCAAATTTGGAGATCAGCTTCATTTACGGGGCGTAATCCCCATACTGGATCTCAAGCTTGGTTAGACTGTTACCAATTGCGAAACCCTAAGTTAAGGCAAGTTTTAACCGTAAATTTGGTTAAGTTGATGTCTCAATCAAATATTTGTTTTTGTCTACTAATTAATATTAAAGTAAATAAACAGTTTTACAAAGTTGTTTCAAATATGAACTTGTGAGGAATAAAGAAGAGTGTTAAAACACTAAGATTCACAACAACTCACCTTGAGATTGATCAGAATTCCTTCGTTCGTCTTGTTTCCACTGTGAATTCGAGAAGCCAAAGCCGGACTGTAGTGGCCAGCATAAGATTCACCAGTAATATAGAAATCATTCTTCACAAATTGCGGATGCTCTTTGAAAAATGCCTACAAAAAATCAAAAAACAACCAAAATCATTACAATTCAAAGAGAGTGTTTTTGAGACTTAAAAAAAAAAAAGAGAAAGAATTGAACCTGTAAAAAATCGTAGAGATCATTGCTGACACCAGCTTCGTCATGCCGGAGATCGCTAGTGACCGACATGTTATTGAAACTGATACCAACCAGTTGGTCAACGTAAATTAGATTGGAGATCTTTAAAAAAAAAAAAAAGTTAGTTTAATTATAGCCAAAAACAAAGTTTCCTAAGTAACAAGCAACCTTGTCCCAAACAAACAACTTCATTTCTGGGGCATAATAAAGATTGAGCCTCTCATGATCAGATTGGGAGATCAACTTCATTTTCAGGGCATTATTGGGTACTATTATGTACCATATTGGATCTCAGGGTTGATTAAACCGTTATCAATCGCAAAACCATATTTTAGTCAAGGTTAAACATATTGGTTCAATTGCTCGTCTATTCAAAGATTTGTTTTTTTTTCCCCTAGTTAATGTTAAAAGAAGAAAAACTTATAAAGCAGAGGGTTAAACATATGATTAACTAAATTTACCTGAAGGTATATTGGAATTTCTGTGTTCTTTTTGTTTCCACTGTGAATTCGAGAAGCTAGTTCTATCAATACTTTATAACTATAAAAATTGGTATACATTTTGACCCAAAAAAAAGTAGGCAAACAATATGAAAAAAATGAGCAAAACATAAACAC